AAGAGTCTAGACTGAAAGAGAAATAATGACAGGCCTTTCAGGCTGCCTGGATGCTCCAAGTAGAATCTTCAAACCATAGATCACTTACTACAATACATAATCATTCTTGGCCCAAGGAAATACCTCTGGCAGAAAACAAGAAGTGTTTTCGTAGTAAAAGCAGTCTCTATCTGCATGTTTCCAAAAACATTGAAGCTTGCGTGCTTGACTCCCCCCAGCTCAATTTTCTGCTTCCTGCCGCCAGATGTCTCCAACTTAATGCACCCAGTGAATTGGTACAGCCAGGGTCATTCTGTGTCAACTCACATAATGGATAACATAGAAATCCCTCAGATTTTGATTAAATTTGGCATATAGGTATCTTTATGAGCCAAATATGTTGTCTTTCAATTTTTAAACCCATCAGAGTAGCAGCTCCAAAGTTACAGGGTGGGGAAGTTTTGGGGTCATGGCATGACAACTTAAGAGATCTACAAGTAAAAAAATACTTAACCCAAAAACTTGATTTTTGTGTTATTTTCCTTCAAGCATCTTGAGGGTTACAAAAATGCAGCAAAAAGGGGGTTTTGTGCATATCTGGATACAATGAACTTTACTTGCTACCTTTGACCTTGAATTTGACCATCTTGGACTTCAAGCAAACATTTTTTTTAAATGTCAGATTAAATGTTGTCTAAATTCTTACAAAGGTTGGAAGTTTCAGATACGCAATAATTTTCCCTTTTCAATAACAACACTGAAAAGATTTTGGGTCTGGGGAATTCCATTTTGAGAGGCTGAAAGATTTATAACTAGATGCCATTCTTCAAAACAGACCATTTCATTTCAGTTATTCATATGGGAAGCTGTCTTTCATTAATTCAGCTTCCTTTCAGCTTTCAAGGATTGTAGTTCAGTGCTCTGCTACTGTATACACACTCTTTCCCAAAAAAGTAAAAAAATTTTTCGCCACTCATAACTGGTTCAGGCTATCGCTGTGCGCTTTTGTGAGCTGACAAGTTTGCATGCACATGAATGCAAAGTTATAACAATACTTGGGAGGTTTCAAGAAACCTGCCAAACCTACAACCAATTTAAAACTTTACATAATCAATATCTAGAGCTACAGTACCAAAAGTAAAAACTGCATCAATGAGGAAAGCTCAGAATATTGCTTGTGAGATAGTATTGAACATTGATAGTGACAGAGATGATTTCATGATTGATTCAAGTGATGAAGTAAATTTTTAAGAAAGTAGTGAGTGGTGCAATGAAAGTGACACTGGTTGATCAGCTTTTCCAACCAGTCCATGTGGACCAGCAATGACACACTACCTAGAGTTTTTATTTATTTAACTGGTAATCCAAAAATTGCTGCTTGAAATTTCCTGAGCCAATACAGCCTATCTCCAAGGTATATGGAAATTAAATTTAATCATTTTTGTAAAAATCAAACTAGGAATTGAAGCCACAAATAAGTGCTTTTTAAAAATCAAATGTGGCTAAATTTCACTGTCAGTGAAAGGTTTAATATCCATAAAATATAAGGTGCCTCAATGGTTGCAAGCATTGAAAATCATTAATAGTTTTTCTTTCTGACTTTCAGAGGAAACCATGAAGAGGATCTGTGCACTCTAGCAAGATGACCAAGTCAATAGATCCAGAAAGACAGACTGCAAAAGTGTTCAAGCAAAGCACAGAGAGAAGGTCCAGCATCAAAAGTACCCCAAAGAGTTGCATCAAAAAAGGAAGCAATGGATTGCCATCTTCCATTTTTTATGCTGGATTTTCAACACTTACAGTGCTGAATTTATCCTGGTACATTCTTGTGGGAGCCTTGGGGAAATATACTATTTGTGTATGTTTCCATCATCAGCACCTTAAACTGATGAAAGTTGCCTTGCATATGAGATTTCCTCTCCATGAGAAGAGGAAACTGTTGTTCCAGAGAAGCTGCTTGAGAGAAGATTATCCCAGGAAAGGACTGTTGCTAAGACACAGAACATTTGCAAGGTCATCCCTTTCAGCCAAGAACAACTCAAAGCTTTTGATGTCATATAGGAAGAACTCTAAAATGTGAGAGTCTAATCTGGGAGAAGATCTTGTCTGGTGTCAATTTTCTTACCTGCAAGAGGAAACCCCCATATGCAAGGTAACTTACATCAGTTTAGGGTTCTAATGATACAAACACAAATAGTATATCTATTCTCTGGGCTCCTGCAAGAATATACCAGGATGGATGCAGTACTGTAAAATGTTGAAAATTCATGATCAGGATTCCCATCTTGCTTCCATGAGAAGTGGTGGGTAGGGCTCATACAGGATAAGTCAGAAGAACATGGTGATATCCTACTCAACTTCACACATCTAAATGGTGAAGCCAATAATTATTTTTAGCAAGAACAAGACACTAGATGGGTGGATCAATTTCACATCCTCTGCATCATCTTAGCATCTTCTCTCACATCTAAAACAAGGGGATACTCTTTCCCAAAAAGCNTGTATGTTTCCATCATCAGCACCTTAAACTGATGAAAGTTGCCTTGCATATGAGATTTCCTCTCCATGAGAAGAGGAAACTGTTGTTCCAGAGAAGCTGCTTGAGAGAAGATTATCCCAGGAAAGGACCGTTGCTAAGACACAGAACATTTGCAAGGTCATCCCTTTCAGCCAAGAACAACTCAAAGCTTTTGATGTCATATAGGAAGAACTCTAAAATGTGAGAGTCTCCAGGAGGACCAGTAAAGACAGCAGGAAAAGTGAGGAAGAAGAAACAGACTAATGCTGGGAGAAGATCTTGTCTGGTGTCAATTTTCTTACCTGCAAGAGGAAACCCCATATGCAAGGTAACTTACATCAGTTTAGGGTTCTAATGATACAAACACAAATAGTATATCTATTCTCTGGGCTCCTGCAAGAATGTACCAGGATGGATGCAGTACTGTAAAATGTTGAAAATTCATGATCAGGATTCCCATCTTGCTTCCATGAGAAGTGGTGGGTAGAGCTCATACAGGATAAGTCAGAAGAACATGGTGATATCCTACTCAACTTCACACATCTAAGTGGTGAAGCCAATAATTATTTTTAGCAAGAACAAGACACTAGATGGGTGGATCAATTTCACATCCTCTGCATCATCTTAGCATCTTCTCTCACATCTAAAACAAGGGGATACTCTTTCCCAAAAAGCGAACTAAAAAATATTCCATCACACAACAAGAAGTGGAAGAAGTTAACAGTGACTAGTCTCACTTCAATTTCCCCCTGTTTACAATGAGTAAAAGAAATTATTTTTCCTATCAGAGGATACCAGACTGCAATTCTAATAAAGTAGACACCGCTTATTGTGATCATGGTTATTGTTATCACCTGGATAATGAGATCAAATCTCAAAAACCAAAACCAATAGGTGGTGGCAGTGATTGCCACTGTCTATTGTTACTAGCCCCTTAATTTTATCAAATTTCCTTGCACCAGCATGATCACAATAAGCAACATCCACTATAGTACAAAAAACTTCCAATTCTTTACACTGAAAACAAAAATTTTTACATCTCTGAAACCTTTGCAGTTTCTAGGAACTAAACCCACCTTTCAGTTCGTACTTTTTTCAATTTTGTATCCAGAGTCCAACATGACCAAATTCAAGTTAAAGGTTACAGGTACAGGTCAATGCATTCAATTCATTAAAAAATTCCTATTTTTCTTCATTTTTGGAATATTCTTGAAATTTGCACCAAAAAAAGGACACCTGAGTCATGCCTCTAGGTCAATAGTTCCAAAGTTATGGGTTTTTGAAGTGAGGTCATCAGGCCTTAACCCCAAAATTTGATGTCACTGTAACTTTGGAACCATATAACTTTGAAATTAGGGTTTTGGGCCATGAATATTCTGTGTACCAAATTGCAGCCAAATCTGAAGGGGTGGTACATCAAAATGATTGTTTCATTGAGTGAGTTGATATGGAATGACCCACCAGTGGTGGGACCAGTAAGACCAGTAATAGTGTAACTTTACTTCCTAATGCAATATAGTTTTAAAGCCAAAGGAATTCCCAAAATGAAGATGCCTTTTATAGAAATGCACCAAGGAAAATACCATGACATTTTATTGGGCATTGTTCAATGAAAAAAAGTTTTTGAACAAACAAAAGTTCTGAATTTTACTCAAACCTAGGTCTTTAGATGAGCCTTGTACAGCTCCTATAAGATATCACTTCATGTAACTCAAATAGCAAGAATAGCCATAATCCAATTTATTAATGATTTTAGGGATTCTTGTACATGCTAGTGCCTGTTTACCTAACAAATGTGATGACTCAAATATAAAAAAGGTTCTAAAAACAACTTCAGGTGGAATCAGAATATGGGTCTACCTGGAACTCATCAAAGCAGAGGATCCAAGCCTGGTCTGTGATGGCCTTGGCAACATGTGGGATAGGATCATAGGATTTTGAACCTCTGGCAAACACCTCCTTTTTGACCCGATGGATGTGTGAATGAATCTCAAGCATAAACTCATGGAAATGAACCCGTCTCTTCTCTTGGAACCCAACTGCTGTATAGAAGAGATCCATCAGCATAGTCTTCCCACCTCCAACAGCTCCATATATGTAAAGACCATGTACATCTTCCTCATTCCTGATAATAAAAGCAATGTAGGGGTTTGAGTTACATCATGTCATAAATGCAATATCACATTCAGTTAGATAGACTGAGAAAATAACCTATTTCAATTGCAATAGGAATGCTACTTCCATGGTTCTATCATATTGGGAAGAGGAGAAAATTCAAAGTGCTTGATTCCATGTATAAGCTTACAAAATGAGCAGCATCCATAACTTATGTTACAAATTGGTGAGGGATTACCAACATTTATAGCATCAATCCAATCAAATACTATGCCAACAAATTAATATATTGTACAGCTGAAATTGTATTTTTTTAAGATCTAGCCAGCATGAACCAAAAATAAGGCTTTCTCAATGCCTCAGCATACCAAAAAGTGAAGTGCCAGAATTACCATTAGTAGGTGTAACTGAGTCCAAGTGAAGATGGAACCAGCAGAAATTGGAATATGCATGCAAAAGGGAAAGAGAAGACTAGAGATGGAATGATACCAGTAAGAAGATTACAGAAGCAACTCCAGAGAGGCTTTTTTTTTTCTCTCTCCCCTATGAGTATATACTGGCTTAGTCTCTTGCTCATGACCACAGACCATGCACAGCTCTACAAAGGGGGTTGATATCCTCTTCTTGAGTAATTTCTGCTCTTCTTTCTATTACCCATCATTTATCAATAATTTAAAGAAATCAAGGCATTGTTCATAATCCCCTCAATGCCTAGTGGCTGCACATTTCCACCATTCCATTTCCTTAGAATCACTCACCATCATGATCCACCACAAGATCATTTTCTAATATACAATATTTACTTTTGACCTTCTACTGCAAGCTTCCTGTTCAGCAATGAGTAATATATCTTTTGTATCAGGTAACATGCTTGATGATGAAATAGGTGCAGTACCACAGTCTGGGATCTTCATATGTGGGCTGCCATGGGTTCACTAGGGTTTCAAGATGTTAGTAAGGGAAATGCTAGGTGCACACTATATAGTACCAACCAACATAAGTTGAGCTGCCAACTGTTTAGAGTAAAATAATTATCTATTACCTACCAAGCATTGTCAAAAGTCGAATGTGATAGTATTGACAGTAAATGCTTGAAGACTCTGGCTCCAACATCAGCCAGGAAGTAAAAGTTAAAGAGAAGAGAAAGAGAGAAGTGAATGACTTAAGGAAATTGAAGAGACAGCAGAAAAAGTATGCAAGAACCATTGGTCTCCAGTACCTATGGAATGCAACCAATGTTGACATCAATGGTGTACCCTTCACAAAAAGTATATAATATTAGGTTTCCTGTTCATCCCTTAACCCTTTCTCTGTTCACCACAGTGCACACTTGGGCTGCACGATGCTTTTATGGTGGTAGCCAGAGTACAGGGTGGTGAAAAAGTCCTGACCCATAGAAATTNCCACCAGTGGTGGGACCAGTAAGACCAGTAATAGTGTAACTTTACTTCCTAATGCAATATAGTTTTAAAGCCAAAGGAATTCCCAAAATGAAGATGCCTTTTATAGAAATGCACCAAGGAAAATACCATGACATTTTATTGGGCATTGTTCAATGAAAAAAAGTTTTTGAACAAACAAAAGTTCTGAATTTTACTCAAACCTAGGTCTTTAGATGAGCCTTGTACAGCTCCTATAAGATATCACTTCATGTAACTCAAATAGCAAGAATAGCCATAATCCAATTTATTAATGATTTTAGGGATTCTTGTACATGCTAGTGCCTGTTTACCTAACAAATGTGATGACTCAAATATAAAAAAGGTTCTAAAAACAACTTCAGGTGGAATCAGAATATGGGTCTACCTGGAACTCATCAAAGCAGAGGATCCAAGCCTGGTCTGTGATGGCCTTGGCAACATGTGGGATAGGATCATAGGATTTTGAACCTCTGGCAAACACCTCCTTTTTGACCCGATGGATGTGTGAATGAATCTCAAGCATAAACTCATGGAAATGAACCCGTCTCTTCTCTTGGAACCCAACTGCTGTATAGAAGAGATCCATCAGCATAGTCTTCCCACCTCCAACAGCTCCATATATGTAAAGACCATGTACATCTTCCTCATTCCTGATAATAAAAGCAATGTAGGGGTTTGAGTTACATCATGTCATAAATGCAATATCACATTCAGTTAGATAGACTGAGAAAATAACCTATTTCAATTGCAATAGGAATGCTACTTCCATGGTTCTATCATATTGGGAAGAGGAGAAAATTCAAAGTGCTTGATTCCATGTATAAGCTTACAAAATGAGCAGCATCCATAACTTATGTTACAAATTGGTGAGGGATTACCAATATTTATGGCATCAATCCAATCAAATACTATGCCAACAAATTAATATATTGTACAGCTGAAATTGTATTTTTTGAGGATCTAGCCAGCATGAACCAAAAATAAGGCTTTCTCAATGCCTCAGCATACCAAAAAGTCAAGTGCCAGAATTACCATTAGTAGGTGTAACTGAGTCCAAGTGAAGATGGAACCAGCAGAAATTGGAATATGCATGCAAAAGGGAAAGAGAAGACAGGAGATGGAATGATACCAGTAAGAAGATTACAGAAGCAACTCCAGAGAGGCTTTTTTTTTTCTCTCTCCCCTATGAGTATATACTGGCTTAGTCTCTTGCTCATGACTACAGACCATGCACAACTCTACAAAGGGGGTTGATATCCTCTTCTTGAGTAATTTCTGCTCTTCTTTCTATTACCCATCATTTATCAATAATTTAAAGAAATCAAGGCATTGTTCATAATCCCCTCAATGCCTAGTGGCTGCACATTTCCACCATTCCATTTCCTTAGAATCACTCACCATCATGATCCACCACAAGATCATTTTCTAATATACAATATTTACTTCTGACCTTCTACTGCAAGCTTCCTGTTCAGCAATGAGTAATATATATTTTGTATCAGGTAACATGCTTGATGATGAAATAGGTGCAGTACCACAGTCTGGGATCTTCATATGTGGGCTGCCATGGGTTTACTAGGGTTTCAAGATGTTAGTAAGGGAAATGCTAGGTGCACACTATATAGTACCAACCAACATAAGTTGAGCTGCCAACTGTTTAGAGCAAAATAATTATCTATTACCTACCAAGCATTGTCAAAAGTCGAATGTGATAGTATTGACAGTAAATGCTTGAAGACTCTGGCTCCAACATCAGCCAGGAAGTAACAGTTAAAGAGAAGAGAAAGAGAGAAGTGAATGACTTAAGGAAATTGAAGAGACAAGGACTAACAGCAGAAAAAGTATGCAAGAACCATTGGTCTCCAGTACCCATGGAATGCAACCAATGTTGACATCAATGGTGTACCCTTCACAAAAAGTATATCATATTAGGTTTCCTGTTCATCCCTTAACCCTTTCTCTGTTCACCACAGTGCACACTTGGGCTGCACGATGCTTTTATGGTGGTAGCCAGAGTACAGGGTGGTGAAAAAGTCCTGACCCATAGAAATTTCTTTCACAGTTCTGTGAAAGACATTTCTATGGTTCAATTGCTTCTAAGCAAATGTTCAAACTGGTGACCCTCACTCGCAGATATAAATGCGATAATGAATACTGTCACACACACGTGAAGATCTCTTTTGTAATTGCCACACAAGCAGTACAGATATTGTATTCAATGGTACCAAGATGCATGGGTCAGGACTTTTGCACCACCTTGTACATACTCTGTAAGTCAGTATTTTTTTTCCTCCCCCTGCTATTTATGGATGTAAAGGGCATATATTTGGGTCACTCTGAAAGGCCAGGAGATTACTTGATCTTTTGCTTCAGGCTATGATGCTATTGTACAACTCTACAGGGTGGCCCAGATTAATATATACATTTTTTAACAAGGCCGTATGCCTTAAGTATTTTAATACCTGCATGTAACTATGGTGGAATACATTGTCAAAGGATCGAAGAAGTGAGTCACACTCTGTTTTCCATGGAGTGGTCCACCATGCGGCCCTCCATGGCGATGCAAGCTTCCAGTCGCAACTTCACGTTGTCACAGGCCTTCTTGCACATGTCTAGGGGAATTTTGCGGAATTCCTCCGTTATTGCTGCCCGAAGCTCTGGAATGTTATGGATCCTATGGTGGTAGACCTTGTCCTTGAGATATCCCCATAACCAAAAATCGAGTGGGGTCAAATCGGGTGATCTGGGGGGCCACTCAACTGGACCGCGTCTGCCGATCCACCGACCTGGAAATGTTTGATCCAACCAACTCCGCACAGTGAGAGCATAATGCGGTGGTGCTCCATCCTGCTGCCACCACATGGTGTCAAAATCATCGCGTTGCGTCAATAGGGGATGCACAGTGTTCACCAGAAGGTCACGGTAGCTGTCTCCTGTGACTGTGTCCTCAAAGAAAAACGGGCCGAGCAGTCCATCGTAACTTACGCCGGCCCACACCATGACACCAGGGCTCTGGTTGTCCACCTCCAATTCAATGTGTGGATTGGTTGCACGCCAATACACGCAGTTGTGGCGGTTCACATATCCTGAGACGTGAAATTTTGCCTCATCACTCCATTCCACATGGCGTGCTAACTCAGGATCGTGCTCCAGCATTGCAAGCCAAGTTTCGGCAAACTCCAATCGCCTGTCGGAATCATCTTCGAGCAAGTGATTTGTTAAGCGAGGATGATATGACCTCAGTTTCAGATCCTTCAGGATTCTTTGAATACTTGTACGAGAAATGTCTAACCGAGCAGATAGCCGCCTTTGCGACTTGTCCTTTTCTTGAGAACTGGCCAACTCATTTTGCAGGCGCACTTTGTTGGCGTCAGTAGCAACGGTCTTGGGTCTACTGCGTTTACGCTCTTCAACGCTGCCAGTTTCATCAAACTTCTTGTTTACGTTCTTAATCGTTATCAACGAAGGTCCTGGTGTCCCAAACTTAGCTGCCATACGACGTTTCACTTCTGAGTAATTGTTGGTCGCTGAGTACAACCTCACACAATCCACCTTCTCTTCCAGACTCAATCGCTGCGCCGCCATCTTGATATGGACGATCCTCATGATTCGCGCCTTTTTCGCATCCCCTTGCTCACATAACGCGCGCAATTTGTATTGCGTCAGTCGCGCGTGACACGCACACGGCGCTTTCAAAGATTGTATATATTAATCTGGGCCACCCTGTATATTGCTCTACATACCAAATGTCATTCTACTCCGAGTCATATTAAGAAAGTTATAGCTTCTTTGATTTTCCTTAGTGGTAGTATTTCACCACGTTGCAATGGAGCTTACTTGAGAGCACTGGCCAGCTATGATTTTCTATTACTTAAAAAATGGCTTCAGCCAAGCAGATTGCTACCAGTCCTTGAGAGCAGCTTTTGGAGATACTGCACCTTCGAGCGCCACTGTGTAGAATTGGTTTGCCCTTTTCCGCCAAGGACGACACTCACTCGAAGACGAACCTCACGTGGGCTGTCCCACCACTGCTGTTACTCCTGACATCATAGAGCGTGTGCGTAACCTGATTGAGAACAATCATCGAATCACTTATGAGGAGATTCAGGCTGCCTTGGGTATTGGATCAGCTGCACTCCATGAGATCCTGCACCAACATCTTGGCCTGCAGAAGCTGGTTTCTTGTTGGGTGCCCCACTGCTTGACCACACAACAAAAACAGGCACGCAAGGAGTGGTGTTCCTATATGTTGGAAAAATTTGCAGAGGGAGAGTCTCACTTGGTAACCGACATCCTGACAGGTGACAAGACCTAGATATACAACTATGATCCAGAAACCAAGCTGCAGTCAGCCATGTGGACATTTTCTAATGAGCCTCTGCCACAGAAGTTTCATCTGACTCGAAGCGTCAGCAAGAAGATGGTGGCCAATTTTTTCCATAAATCTGGTCATGTGAAGACAATGATAGAGGATCATCGTACAGTGACTGTGGAATGGTACAGCAAAGTATGCCTGCCTGCCGGCTGAAGTGAAGTGGATGTGTCCAAAGACTGGTCTTCATGGGTTGCTCCTTCATCACAACAATGCTCCCACTCGCACTGCAGTTTGCACTTTTGACTTTCTGGCAGAGCAGGGAGTCAGACTTGTGACCCATCCACCCTATTTGCCCGATCTGAACCCGTGACTTCTTCCTGTTCCCCAAAGTTAAACAACAGCTGCGTGGACACTGATTCAATGATGCTGATGAGGCTATCAATGCTTACCAGGAGGCGACTGGCTCTGACTGATCGATGGGAAAAACATCCTTTGAAAGCTGGTTCAAGCAGATGAAAACTTGCGTGCAGCGTGATGGTGACTACTTCGAGCATCTGTAGAAAGTTGGTTCCATTTTGGTGTGTCTCCTTGATTCCAAAAACTTTCAGAGTGACCCACACATTAGGTATTGTTGGAACCACAAGATCTTTTCTATGTGACAGTGCTGCTCTTGTCAACGTATGTGACTAATGGAAGCAATGAATAACAAAAATCATGTGCATATTTTTACTGACCCAATCTGTCAAAATGGTTTCCTACTCACATAGATTTCCATTAGATGATGAAGTAAATTTACTTTTGAATACTGATTCTGATTATTTCCAATTTTAGTAGAGAAAGTGAGAGTGATGTGAAAACGGAAGTTGAAGCTGAAATATAAGAATATGAAGATGATGACGATGATGGGGTGGAGATGCAAGCAGAAAGAGAGGTGCAAAAAAGGGGGCAAAAAAATTGATGCTGGACCATAGTTAATCAAGAATTCTCATGCACCTCATACCTTGACTTTTACAGGAAATCCTGGATTGAAAATAAATATTCCAGATAACTTCCCTGAGATACACTTAAAATAATAATAATAATTTTCACAGAGGAGCCACTTGAACACATAGTGGCAGAAAAAAATGAATTTGCATCAGACTTCACTTCTACCACAACTCAACCACTACCACAAAAGCGAATATTCAAGGGTAAAACTATGGGAAAATATCTCTGTATGGGATTTTGATATATTTCTTTCTGTACTGATTTTAATGGGCATTAAAAAGCAGCCCACTATTCAGTCTTACTTATTAATTGATGAACATTTTACCATCCCTGCTTTTGGTAAAATTGTCTGTCAATAGATTTTACTCATCTCAAAATTCCTGCACTTTTCTGATAGTAGTCTGGTTGTTCCTGGGAATAATTTTATTATTATTATTTAGATCAATCTTAGTAGAAATAGTTTTCAAGATATGACAAGTTAAACTTGAATTATTGTTCACAGAGAAACCACACTTAAAAATATGGTATCACACCTACCACTAACGATGAAAAAATTTGTCACTTTCCCAATTACTCTTCCCTTCTCTACAAAAGACAACCTACCCTTCCAAAAGTCAATTGAATATATCCTGATTTAGTTATACTGTGATGCCCTTCCAATAGCATTATTGGCCACATTCCTATTGAAGCAATTAGATCTTCAATGTTGGACTTACACTGAAAAATGTATTATTGGAAGACAGTCAGGCCAATGCTTACCAAAACCTGAAATCTGCCCATGGCACTATGACAGCAAAGAAAACAGAGCAGAAACACCTCACAATGAGGGAGATATATGTCTGGATTCTGTAGCCATTGATTTTGTTGAGAACCTCATTTATTTTTATGAAAATTGACAAGACGTGAACATTATATGTCATGGCTATTGGATTGTAATTGGTTAGTGGATGTTCAACTGCAGCCTAACAAAATGGATTATTTAGAGATTCCACTTCAATAGATCAACTAATAATTGGAGGGCTGGAAAGCAGTTAATCAGCAGGGAGAAAGTTTTTTATATTGCTTGCATACATCCTATTCATAGCCATGGTAGCAATATAATGATTTTGTCATGGTATAGTCAGCATTGTGAGACTAGTTACAACTGAATCTAAAGATTGATTGATGGCCATAAGATGATAATATTACCACAAATGTAGTGAGTCTACCATACAGAGAAAGGCAGGGGAAAGTGTTGAATTGAGATACATACATGGATATGGCTATCTCACTGCCCAAAGGAATAAATTTAAGAGAAAAAATAATAATGCTGTAGAGATAAAGTGACCCCAATAACTTACGGTATATCCTTTTTCATAGCCAAAGTCATTATTCTCATAGCCATAATCAGTTATAAACAATTTCCAGAACAATGGAGACAAAACCAATGTTGCACTTTGCTTCTAAATTCCCCACCTTGCCATTTTCTATTCCATTTTCAGCAGCAAACACTTTGAGATCATGAAGTTACATCTATCAATGCCTTACAAAGTGAGACTAAGGATAAAAAGAGCATTCCCTAAAAATTGTCATAACCTCAAATAACAAGAATGCTCTGGGGCTGGGCTTCCAAACCTTTTTCATGTGCAACCCCAAAAATCATGATCATACCATTCAGGACCCCAAACACTGGCTGAAGTTCGACAGGCTCCCCCACCTATTCACTAAAATCACAAAGAAAAACATAACTTAGCATTTAGTTGTTGGTTCATGATCCCTGGGTTGGGGTCATGTGTTGGGGCCTTGTTTTAGAGGATGGAGCCTCTGTTATTGAGCCTGTCACCTTTACAATACAATATAATAAGGGCACAAGAGGCTCTAGCCCCATAACTGCACCTGACTCTAGAACACCAGCTAGCCAACCCTCCAATCTAAACCCTCCCCCCACCCTGTAATGACAGCAAACACAAATAACCTTGAAAGACTCAAATTGGCCCTTTTGGTTACTTCAGGGATATGCTACCTCACAGTGCTTTGTGTTCATGGGTCTCCCTTCACAAGCAAATTGGGACTTGAACTCAGAAAGAAATGCTAGATTTGGTTGGGTTCAAACCTGAGTTCCCTGCCTACCCTAGGTTCGAGTAATGGTTCGTTCGATGAGTGGACAAGGATCTTCTGTCGTCTAATCTTCATTGGGTTAAACTGTTACTGAGTGTATTGGAAATGTAGATGGGGACTTCTTCGTCCAGAATAAAGGTTATTCATAACACAAGTTGCAATAGATCTACACCCACAAATTCCCTCTAGTCAGGGGTAATGGTGACAATCTAGCATCCCTGAACTCAAGATCCATTAACCCATCTGCTGACTCACCTGTCTGAGAGACAGGCTCAGTATATGGGGCCTTACCTGACCAACCTGTCTGCCAAGCAAATTTACATGCATGTATGAGTAGAACCAAGTGCATTCACACAAAAGGAATTCCCTGGATGTGATTGTTTGTATGAGTGCACATTGATGGAAATTTTCACAAATTAAATGGTTGTTCACAGCAACTGTTAGGGCAAAAAAAATGGTCAGCATATGGGTTGAGGAAGAGTTCATTCCTTCTTACCGAAAATAAAAATTCAGCTTTCTAAGCAATGCAACATTGTGACAATCCAGCATATGAAAGTGGTCAAGGTTTCTGCACCAGAATGAGATGCATAAGACTGTAATTCTCTAAGTTGCACTCTAATGGATCAAAGGGCCCCATTCCAAGTGATAGGAGTCATAGGTATCTACTGCAAATCCTAGCCTAGCTCCATTTACACAGAGGTTCTTTCTTTTCTTAATGGAAATTACTCTCACTTTTACAGATGATATCTAAGAACATCCTTGCTGCTTCAGCAAGGAATCATATCAACCAAAATCAGGAATCAACCAAAACAGACTTTCAATGATAAAGACATCAGGATTAAGTGGGAGTTAGAATGGCTATTGTACGTCTTGTGAACACCATGTACACCCCGAGTTCGTTATGTGAACACCTACTATAAGCCTATGTGTACACCTTATACAGGGCTATGTGACCACCTCTCATAGGCTTGTGAACACCTATTATGGGATCCAAGCTCATTACCAAGCAAGCTACTCACCTGTTCCTAGAAGACAGCAGATTAGAAGTAACCCAATTTGACAATGACTCACATAACCTTTACATCTACCCCTGAAGAAGCAGGTCTTATTGGGTTATTCATAACACAAGTTGCAATAGATCTACACCCACAAATTCCCTCTAGTCAGGGGTAATGGTGACAATCTAGCATCCCTGAACTCAAGATCAAGTCAGCAGATGGGTTAATACCCATCTGCTGACTCACCTGTCTGAGAGACAGGCTCAGTATATGGGGCCTTACCTAACCAACCTGTCTGCCAAGCAAATTTACATGCATGTATGAGTAGAACCAAGTGCATTCACATAAAAGGAATTCCCTGGATGTGATTGTTTGTATGAGTGCACATTGATGGAAATTTTCACAAATTAAATGGTTGTTCACAGCAACTGTTAGGGCAAAAAAATGGTCAGCATATGGGTTGAGGAAGAGTTCATTCCTTCTTACCGAAAATAAAAATTCAGCTTTCTAAGCAATGCAACATTGTGACAATCCAGCAAAATATGAAAGTGGTCATCAAGGTTTCTGCACCAGAATGAGATGCATAAGACTGTAATTCTCTAAGTTGCACTCTAATGGATCAAAGGGCCCCATTCCAAGTGATAGGAGTCATAGGTATCTACTGCAAATCCTAGCCTAGCTCCATTTACACAGAGGTTCCTTCTTTTCTTAATGGAAATTACTCTCACTTTTGCAGATGATATCTAAGAACATCCTTGCTGCTTCAGCAAGGAATCATCCAAAACAGACTTTCAATGATAAAGACATCAGGATTAAGTGGGAGTTAGAATTTCTATCTTTCACAAAACTCTTCCATTCATTCCATTTAAAAAAAAACTGCTTCTTAAACATATAGAATCTTTTTTTTTCTAAACTAAACATGAAGAGGAACAGATAAAGAACTTATCATATCAAATATGAAAGCCATGTGCATTCTGCAAAAAAAAAAAAAACAAAAAACAAGAACAGAAAATTCTTTACCTGTTCCTACAAAAGTTTTTGAATTCCTTTCATCCCAGGCCCATGCAATGAATACAATAATTACTTGCGAGATGGTGGGAAAAGCCAATGCCAAACTCCTCCACGCTTTCTGAGTCTGGAGTTATGAAGATGCTCCACCTGAGACTGAAGATGATGCAGTTGCTTGACAATTCGCTGCTGGTGTTCGTCTGCCTGCAGCTCCCCTGATTCCACCCGAACCAGATACATGTTCATGACACCGGGAGGTCCCACATGGCAATCTCTCAAGCACAACACAACTTGAGTCCAGATCCGCAACGAGTGCCAATGCGTTCTTATCCTCGGAAAGTGAATGAATTTCATCTGTGTGCTAGCTAAGTCTCCGCCTGATCACACGTTAACATACCCGTCTGATTCTCAAGTACATATCCACTGACATGAAATGCGAAGCTTTCTAACGTTAGAATTGACAAAAACATTGTTTCCACTGCACAGACTGTGCAATGTGCGACGCCATTAGACTTTCTTTTTATAGACTGGCCTTATCAATGTTAAGAACTCACCATATCTTCACCAACCTACTTGAACAAATCTTATTTCACTTCGCTGAGGAATTGATAATTTTATTATGAAATTGCATTAATATGTTTCACATGGGAGCCGTGGCGTAGTTTTTGTTTACGCATCACATTAGGTGTTGACGTATAGATTTATTCATTTCTTACTTGTCTTCTGTTGCGACACGCAAGTTTACATTCTCCGTGTCTTTGTTAATATTGACTTTATTGGTGAACTCGATGGGGCGCAGGGCATTGAATGAGCGCCAGAAATCATATCTGAATGAGGTTGTCCGACAACCGCGTTTATTTGATGGATGCACTCTGAGACCGTGCAGACAACATGCGTGTTATTGTATGTATTTACCTCTTGGTGGGCATGAAACACGTTCCGCGACTGATCGCAATCGAAAGGTGCTCCAACAGATACAGGCCACTGCCCTCGAACTCGAATGATTGTGTATAGATAGTGTATAGTGTATAGCACGTAAGAAATGTCGGTCGCCTTGGTTTGCTTACGGAAATTGACCGCATCCATGCCCTCGAGTCAAGTTCACAATTCCGCTCAGTGGCCAGGTCACGGACGTAATTTAAATTTCGCACTACTATTGAATAGATCCAGTGTAGGCCTAAGTGTAACGCGCCCAATAGCAGAATTACGGTTTATAAAACCAGAATAGCGATTCAGCCTTCAACCCATAACGGTCAGGAAATGCAAGCACAATGTATTATCGGGGCCTTGAGGATTCTCGTTCTTTCTATAATTCATTTGGCTTGTTACTTCTTATCCATACATGGGTAGTCCTCTTAAAAACTAAGCCAACATTGGGTTTGGTGAAGTCTAAAACCTATGAATGTTTGACTGTCAGATAGCTGTTAATGTGTTTATCAAATTTTCAGATGGACAATCAAGAAGACAATGGGAAGACATCAGATCAGATAATCCATGAATTGCTGGAGACATTTGGAGTAAAAGAAGAGCCTCTCCAAAAGTCAGACTCAAAAGAAGGATCATCAAGTAAAAGAAAGTCAAGGAAAGAGAAGAAGAAGAAGAAAAAGAAGAGAAGACATGAATCAAGTTCTGGGAAGTCAAGAAAGAAGCGAAAAAGCAGTGATACCTCAGATGATACTGATAGTGATGATGAGGATTGGGTAGAAAGAACTTTCCTCTCAGGAAGTGACTCAACCAAGTTCAACCTAGGAGGCATTCAAAAGACTCAAATAAATGGGGAGGAGCAAGAGAAGCCTGTGATGAAAAGTAAAACCCCAGCTTCAGGAGAGAAACTAGGAATCTATTATTCAGAGTCGAGCCATGACTCCAATGAGGATTTTAGTGGCATCCCTCAGCTAGTGCCACAAGACACAAATTCAAAATTGTCACCTAGTCAGGAGATAGGGGAGCAGCAGCAGTCATCTCTTCATTCAAAAGGTGTCAGCTATGTTGATATGGCTTGTCAAAATCCTGTTTTTATGTAAAAGAGTATTATAAGGTATGCCTTAAATCTCTGGGGGGGTTTTCAGACAAAAAGATCCAGATAAAGAATCTGAAGTTCAGTGCAGTGTATCAACAGACATTGAAGGAGGTGGAAGAAAGGGAGGCCCAGAGAAGAGCAAAATATGAAGAGGGAGAACTGGAGAGTAGTGCTGAGGAAGAGCAACAAGATAATGTAGTTGAAGGTGTAGAGGAGAACACAGGTATAGTCACAAGAAAAATTTCTTGCAACTGGTGATTTAATGGTTTCAAAACTTTTTTCAACTTTTTTATTATTATAGTAGTTTGCTGCACATGCTTCCAGAAAGGCCTATTAATATAGATGTCTTGCATCAAATTTTTTATTGCTTCATATTTGTTTTCTTTGTGACTGCAGAAATTATTGGTCTTATGTCTACAAGCACAACATCAGAGTTACTCAAGTTAATTATGGATCTATAAAAGTAAAATGTAAGATGGAAAATCTAATCCATTGGTATCTTGCAAGGGAGAGTCATAAGGGAAATTTAGAAGATCAAATGAGACAAGCTGAACCAGAAAGGCAGACATGGGGGAAAGAAATGACAACTGTATCTCACAGCCATGCTAGGTAGTAACCTTCTTAGTGCATTTATACTATGCTTTCAATGCACATGTATATGTCTTAGGGTTTTGTGGAATTCAGGGGGATTTCATATCTCCTTAGGGAGACAAAATTTCACAAAACCTGCAGGTTTTGCAAAATCCTCTTAAAGTCATGTCCATGTCACTACACCCTAGAGAAATTTAATATCTCCCTGGCTCAATAATTGCCCTTACCATGGCTTGTCCTGCTGAGGGAAATTCTTTCATTTGCGTTGACAGATTATTTAAGTCTGAGGAATGCTGTGTTAGCTATCAGTGAGAATGCTGTGCCTGCTTCTGCCTACCACTAACAAAAAAAGAGAAATTTGGGAGACAGTGGTTGCATCAACAAAGGGAGAAACCATCGATGGTGTTAGTACCGAGCTTAAATTCAGGTTTAAGCAAAATTTTCTAGTGGAGGGGGACAAGATACAAAAGCAAAGCAAGAAGGCAGTAAGGTGTTTTTGGGGACTCCCGCTGGCATAATTGACTCGCCCTTCCTGCCAGAACAGTTAGTAAAGGCAACTGACAAGCAAGCTGTGAAGGTGCCTAATGGTCAGTGCCTAACAGTGTCCTTGATGAAGGCTTTGAGGGCAGAAACAAGCTATGCCAGTGGGGGTGCAGGATCCATCTGCAAGTGCAAGAAGTCTTGCCTCACCAACAGATGCAGGTGTGATAAACTAGGCATAACATGCTCATCCGAGTGTCATGGGGGAAAGCCATGCGACCTCCCAAAATAAGACTGGTATATTGTTAACTGACTCCACTTTGAATCTTATTGATGTTAATTTTTTTCTTACTATACATGGACTAATGTTAATTTCTATTTCCCCCAGGTGTCTTGATGATTCTCCCTAGAGTTGAACAAAATGATGGAAACAATGGCAGGTAAACTGGGTGATTTGGAGTTCCCCTAGGGGGGGGGGTGACATAATAGAGGATTTCAAGATGATTTTGCTAAATCTGCTGGTCTAGCAAAATTCTGTCTCTCCCTAGGGAGAGTCAAAATCCCCCTCAATTCTACAAAACCCTATGACATAGGCCATGATTATATCAGTCTTTTTTGTCGTTTTTGATATGTCACGCTTTAAAAACTAAAGGTTCTTGATCCCGGGTATTGATGCCAGTGGTATTTGTTGTCATAGCACATGACATGACAGCACAGCCAGCTCATGGTTCCAGATTCAGTGTCAATATGCAGACACCGTGTAAGATCAGATAAGTTTGGGAAGGATATGAAGTGTCCAACAGCCTATGTATGAGATCTCATGGATTTGTTTGAAATTTGGCATGTAGGTTTCCACCATTGAGTAAAAAAAGACATGAAAAATAATTTTGCATTCATAGTCATAGTTCCTAGGATACAAGGGTTGTTCTGAAAGTTCTTAGTTACATCATATATAACAGTACAATTGAAAAATTCGTCTCATCAGGCAAAAGAACAATCCATTCCCAAATGTTTCCGAAGATAGCCGAAGTCTTATCCTCGGTCTATAAAAGCAGCTGACACAATTGAAACTTCTCAGTTTGCTGCTACCCTGCTGGCGAGATGGATGTGCTGTGAAGCACTTTTCGAACGATGATTTTCTATGATTACAGAAGGCAGTTGACATTCCACCAATGTCATGAAAATTTGGTGGTAGCTTTTGGTGACTCTGCTCCTTCATTATCAACAGTCAGTCATTGGTTCTGGGGATTTCAACGCTGGCAAGTTCAGTTAGAAGATGAACCTCGACCTGGGAGGCCTTCAACTGCTGTTACTGAAACACATGTCAAGATTGTGAGGCAACTACTGAAGGAAAATTGAAGTATTACACACTGGGAAATTCAGGATGAACTGCAGATAGGATCCTCGGCAGTTTCGACCATTCTTCACCAACATTTAGGTGTCAGGAAACTTGCCAGTCGTTGGATCCCACATTTGCTCACCGAAGAACAAAAACAGAGACTGGTGGATTGGTGCAGATTTATGATTGAAAAATTTTGGTTGGGGTCAGTCCCAGCAGCTGTCGTATGTATTCCTTCATGAGGAATTCTGCTTCACCACGACAACACACTGGCGCACAGTGACGCTTTGAAGTTGAACTTTTTGCACCAATCTGGTGTTCAACTTGTGAGCCATCCACCTTACAGTCCGGACCTGGCCCCGTGCGACTTTTTTTTATATCCTACAATAAAAAAGTTGCAGGGAAGGACATTTTTAAGTGTAGATGCAGCCGTCGCAGAATTCAAGAGCCTGTTTGAGGACCTGCCTAAAGAAGTATTTTCAAGTTGTTTTGACAAATGGTTTCAAAGAATGAGTAAGTGTATTAGTGTTGGGGAGACTACTTTGAAAAACAATAATAGAATTCAACAAAATTATTGGCCTTTTTTCTTTAACCACAAACCTTCAGAACAGCCCTTGTATTGAGATCACGAAGTTTTGAGCTGAACATGCTTCTGCACATATTCTCCATACAGTAATAACACATATATCTTTAATGTGAAATAGACTTGTGCGTGTCACATATAGAGTCTGTTGTATATACATCCATGTATGTATGTTGGAAGATATATGATATGCAAATCCCATAGAACTGAAATTTATGCAGATGACTGACTGATGATGTTATCTCAGGTAGAGCAAAGATTGAACTTTTGGAACATTTGATTCTGTATTTCCAAAGAGAATTTTTTAGGAGGTTCAACTTGCAGCTGAGAAGGAGCTCTTTTGATGATGCTGGTTTTTCTGCATTAGTCTTGTCATTTACTCATTGTATTCCTTTGTGTGTTTTCTTGATGAGAACTATGCCAAAATGTTACCACCACCTGTGGTTATTCATTTATAGCAGCAGCATCAATGCAACATTAGGATGACTTTATTGAAGCCCTCCAGATTAATACCACTGTATCTATCCAAATCATAGTGCCTTATGAACAACCACCTGAATTTCAAGTTTCTGAAGATACATTCACTTGTCAAATGAATTAGAAGCAAGCAAGAGGATTGTCATATTTTATCAGCAAATCATGAAGTGAATCGTGAATATACTGCTTATGTAAGGGGATTCATTATTCACTCCATTCAAGTTAAATTTTTATTATTTTTCACCGTCCTCTTCTGTCTGATGATTTATCCCTTCATAATTAATTCTGAGGCCAGTTGCATGGGAGACATCAGTAGATATCAATCTGACATCACTGCAGATATTATATAACCAGAATTCAATGTTGACATAACACTGGTTACATATCATTTAGGGCAGGCCTGATGGTTAGGAATGCAACATCAACATATTTGATTTCCTTCTATGCAGATATATGCAATTTACTTTTGTGGGTTTAATGATATATGAATTGTGAGAAACTAAGTTATTCACCACAAAGTATTGATCCTTCCAGATGGAGAGGTGAAGAATGAGGAAGATGCCATCCCAAACAGGAAAGAGAAAAGGGAAAAGAAGCATATTGGAAAAAAACAGAAACAGAAGAAGGATGGTACTCACCAAGGAAAGTGCAACAAATATAAGTAAGGCAAACATGGTCTAAGTAATTCTTCAGGGATCTTAACTCAGCAACAACCTATTGATTTTGTCATTCTTCAGAACATCATCATGGAGTCAAAGGTGCTCCAGCAAGGATAAAACTTCAAAAAAGGACAAGAGAAGGGAGAAACATTGCAGACAAGAAGGAGATAAGAAGAGCTGGGACGAGAGAGATCACACAAGAGAACATAAGAAACAAGATAATCTGTGTAAGGAGCAAGACATAAGACATGAAAGAAGTATAGAAAAAAACCACAAAAGTCACGGCTGTGACCATCGGGATGCAAGTAAGAGGGATAAGAACAGGATGAAAGAGAGGAGTCGAAGTAGAGAGCGAGGCCAGAGAAAGCAGATTTCTACATCACCCAGAAGACACTCTCGGAGTCCTGAGCATCGTCACAGATCTACCTCTCCCTGGCGGAGGAGGAGGAGGAGAAGCCGATCAAACAGTCACAGTCGAGGCTGGAGGTAAAAGAAATGTATGCTGCATAAACTATGTAATATTTAGTATGAATATGATTCTTTAGCTCATGTTCTTTCTAAGAATGCTGGTTTTGAAAAAGAGAAAAGAATAGCAGCTCTAAAATATTGTCAAAACAATAATTTTTGTCATGTTCATGGCCTAGGTCCCGGTCTCCAAGACGGCGACAGCGATCCAAGTCCCCTGAATACCGGACAGAGATAGACAAGGAGAAGCTTCTCCAAATTGCTCGTAAAAATGCTTTGAAGATGCTTCAGGTAATTCCTCTACTTCTTACAAGGAACACTACCCAAGTGATAATTTCAGATTTTCACCAAACTTATCTGATCTTACACGGTGTCTGCATATTGACACTGAATCTGGAACCATGAGCTGGCTGTGCTGTCATGTGCTATGACAACTCCAAACTTTGGTCATTGAAAGGGCTCTCAAAACGAAGTCAAACGGCACCAAAACTTGCGGCTGAGAAACAGGTTTAGGCTCATAACTGGCTCTCTCAATTTTCAGTGATACATGATTATTATAGTCACAGCCCTATTTTCTTTGATTATAACTTTCCAAGGGAAAGTCAGATTCAGGTGTTATTTGACAGAGAAGTTCTTCAGTGAAGGAGGTTTTTTTCCATGCCACTAGGAGGCGCTGCATGCTGATAGAGGGCAATGATGTCGGCAGCAGTGCCACTTACCTACTAGCTATGCCATTTTTTAGGCAATGGAAAAAATTGGTTTAAGCCTATGAATGTCTCTGCCAATTATAATCTGCATCTGAGAGTTTATTCAAAAGATATGGACAAAGTTGTATTTTGAAGTAACATTTGAACTTTTTTTGGTCATAACTTTTTAAGGAAAAGTCAGATGCAGCTGATATTTGACAGAGATGTTATTATGTCTATGACTTGTTCATACCCTTACCCAGCACAAGGCTCTACATGTTGACAGGTGGCGCTGTGGTGGCATATGCAAAGGTAAGAGACAGTGAATAGGAACTGCCTACAAAAAGAAATACATCTAGCATTCACTTCACTCCCACCAAGAGAAGATGAAACTTTCAGTGCAGTAACGTCTCATGTTGATGTGCTCTTACTACGTCCCTAGTATGACATAATATTGAATCAACCTTGATTCAACATTGGTTCATCATCTGAATGTTGAATCAGTGTTGAATCAATGTTGTTTCAATGTTATGTGCTACTAGGGGTTTTACAAAGAAACTGTAAGCAGAGCCCTCATGCTCCTTCACATTTCACCTTCGTGTATGCAATCACTGCGCCCTCTGTCAATAGGTACAAATATGTGCCGGGCAAGGGAACGAATAGGTCATAGACACAATAACATCTCTGTCAAATATCAGCTGCATCTGACTTTTCCTTAAAAAGTTATGACCAAAAAAAGTTCAAATGTTACTTCAAAATACAACTTTGTTTGACCATATCTTTTGAAAGAACTCTCAGATGCATCTGATAATTGGCATAGGCCTGAACAAATTTTTTCCAGTGGCTAAAAAATGACATACCAAGTAGGTAGGTGGCACTGCTGCCGACATCATCACCCTCTATCAGCATGCAGCGCCTCCTAGTGGCATGGAAAAAAACCTCCTTCACTGAAGAACTTCTCTGTCAAATATCACCTGAATCTGACTTTCCCTTGGAAAGTTATAGTCAAAGAAAATAGGGCCATGACTATAATCATGTATCACTGAAAATTGAGAGAGCCAGTTATGAGCCTAAACCTGTTTCTCAGCCGCAAGTTTTGGTGCCGTTTGACTTTGTTTTGAGAGCCCTTTCAATTACCAAAGTTTGGTGAAAATCTGAAATTATCACTTGGGTAGTGTTCCTTGTTAGTAATTAAAACAAAACTAGTGGGATCCAATAGCATGAAGAGAAATTCTGCATGCCAGCCTCACAACGTAGACCAACTGAAAGGGATGGATGTAGAGAAGCTACGGGCCATCACAGCTGGTGGGAAGAGCTTGGAAGAGCTGACTGAATTCTGCAAAAAACTGGTGGTAATGGAAGGACTGGGCTGCTCAAGTGAGGAAGACAACAATAACAGCAGGGATGCTGCATCAGATGATGATGACAACAAGCCCTTCATCCATCATCCTTTCTTGGTCAAAGAGAGACAGTCCCTCTCAGTTGTCATTAATGTCAAGGTCTGATCCTCATATATTTCATTGATAAATCTTCATTGATTAGAAAATGGGCATGTAGATGTATGTGGAATTTGTAGAATGCTGTTCAGTTACCTGTGAAGACCCCTCAGGAGAGAATCTCAGAACAAGCCAAGCTTCGTCTTCAGTTTCCAGTGTCCAGCGGGTCTCAGCATAGAAAAAAAGGTGTCATTTCTCTTCAATCATGAAATCACTGTAGATTTTGAAGGTAGACTAAGCTTTTTCTTTGTGATTTCTTTTGTGAAATTTCAGTTGTAATTTAGTAATTTCCTTCAGCTGTTTTTTATTAACATAAATTAAGTAAAAACTGGTCCTGTTAGTAATTGCATTAGGTAGTTTTATTATTCATAATGACCTCCATACCATAAATCTATCAGGATTTTTCAAAAGTTTATGAACATTTGAGCAGTTTTGTGATAATTTCTTCATGGCATTGCCTTAGAACCAACACTGGAGTGGGAAGATGTCATCCCAGAGGAGAAGGATGGTAAGAAGGCAAACAAAGAAGAGGAGAAGGTGTTTGAAGACATTGAACCACCTGTATGTTTACTTTCCTCACATTCAGTATTGTGTTTGCTTTGCTGTTATAATTCCCCTTGGGACAAAGGTTTAGTTTTTATATTCTCACTTGTTGCAGACAAAGGTGATTAGTGATATTGTATCCCAGCGCCTGAATGCCATTCGCCGTCTCCAAGAAAATCCCCATGATGTTGAAGCCCTGAACATGATGTACAAGGCTCAGGAAGAGGTAATTGCATCCAAAAGTCATGTAGGCTTACTGAATAATGTGATATAATACCTCAGCTGAAGTATTTTCAGAATATTTTCAGAAGGTATGCCTTTTTGTTGGAATTAACACCCAGAAACCAAGTTTACTTTTATCCTTCCATCAACTAACCTAATTTTCATTCTTTCTTCATCAGCTTTGGCCCTTTCAATCATTTGACCACTTATCAGTGTCAGACTCCTCAGTAGGTTTGAATTGCTTGTGTAAGATTAATGCATCAAGGGGCATTTTTGCTCATGATGATATCCTCTATCAAGGTCAAGCTTTTGCATAAAATAAGATGGGTCTTCCCCTCCTAAGGAGAGGTATTTTAGATGGAGCATGTCTGCCCACTGCTAAGTTGCTTACAGCTTCTTTTCTCACTATCTTTTTTTTGTCCACAAATACATCTAATGTCTTCTCAAAGCTACTCATAGAAGGGGCAACCATCACATCACCTGAAGCTTTTCACACATTCATTACCCTTGAGGTTAGGAAGTCCTGATGCAACCTGAGTCTCACTTGGGATTTATGCTACTTGAATTGCTCCCCTGTTTCTGTTACCCTCAGGTTGAGAAAAATTATCATGCTCCACATTATTGGTTGTCTTAATGATCTTAAATTTGAATGTCTGGATGAGGTTCCACCTTATTAACTTTTTCTAGAGAGAGTAGAGTCTAAACCAGTGGTATTCAAACTGCAGCCCAATTCAATGTTTTTATGTGGCCCATTTCTATGCAATAAGAAGTGATTTTCTAATATTTAATCCTACAACTGACATGAATAATGGGTATAAATATTTTTATTAATTGTAGAATTGGATTATTTTGCTCATAAATACTACTATTTTACTCATAAATAGATACTCATTGTGTGTTCACATTTAGATGTTTATGCATTCAAGTGTGCACCTGCTGAATTAGCCTAATAACTTGGAGAATTTATATACTGCAAAGATAAATGTCTTACCTTGCAAGTAAATTGTGAAAGATCAGAGAAAAAAGGTATGCTTTTTGAAGATACAACCTGTAACAAAGCAGCACTAAGAACCTAACTCCAAGCAGTGGCAGTTTCAGTGAGTACAAGAGGGTGTAGATGTGACAGGTATGGGCAGTTTTCAATTGCCACTCATTCTCAAAATGAGATTTCTGGCTTAAATTACCTTGACCTGGAAGTCAACCACCAGTTAAAGGGTTAACCTTGCAGAATTGTTGAGTATTTTTCAACACAATCCACTCAAAGTGGACCAAAGTGTCTGTGTGGCCCTAACTTCAAAAACTTTGGGGACCACTGGTCTCAACATTTCTAAATGGCTATCATCTAAAAGCCTTTGTACCTCATTTATCATTTTTGTAACATGCCTCTGAACCCTCTTCAGTTCCATTAGATCACTTTTATTTCAGGCCTCAAAAATTGAAAATGATACTCTTATTGGCTATGGAATGGCAGATGAAGTCTAAAATCCTATTCATTCAGCTACTATCACCTACATGTGAGAGGTTCAGTTCCTTATTGATCAAGATCCTGAGTCTTGCTTCCCATTTGTCTCCTCCAATTTATCCCTGGCAAAGGCATTCTGAAACCTATTGTCATTAAGACCTTTGACCTCCATAGTCACCATTTTTACATCATTAGATATTTGCCATTCCAAAATTGCACAATTATTGGCCAAGTTGCTGTAAATGTTTCCGAAATTACCATCATGATAGTGATTAATTTTTTATTATTCTTAAATGTAAACTTTTAAAATGTCAAGTGATTTAGTTTTCACAATAAGTTGTATAATAATTCTGATGATTTAAATTTTTTTTTTACCATCTGTGCCATATCTGTCATTTGAAAAGGTGGATTTTTCTTCACAGTACTTTTGATTGATTCATTGAATTTGAATGCAAGGTGCATTTGACCTGTACCCCATTCATCATATATGACTACCTAACCCTGTGAATATCCCTACCTACAGTCAATCCAATCCAACCTTGCCTAAGTTTTAATCCTCAAAGGGGTCATTAAATGTCATCTATCTTCCTCTCCCCTGAGGGTGGAGGGTGATTTCCCTTTGATCTCTCCACCAGACAGTAGCATGCTACTCCTGGGTGGAGGGAGCAGGCATCTCACATGAATGACTTTAGAAATCTCGATAAGATGCCTCACAAGTCCCAGAAACGCCTAGGTCCACCACTGATAGCCTCCAAGCCCCTTTCTGGCATTTTGACAAGCACATGACTGCACAAAATTAATGAGCTTCCATAAAATAGGCAATGCCAGCATAGCAAAATTGGACTGGATAGACTATACCAGTCAGAAGTTTGACCCCGAAGCTCACTGTTCATTTTTAAAAGAAAATTTTGGGGAAACAGAGAAGGAAAAGGAAGGGGGGAGATTAAACATCACTGTTAGTGTATGTTTACTTATTTCTGAATTGGGCTCGTTTGTTGACAGATGAGCAGCTGGGCAAAGAGCAAAGAACTCCCTGGTCAATTCACAGGTCATACAGGTGCAAGAGTCCTGTCTCAACAGGAACTGAACCAGGGCTTTCAGGCCTGGGCCAGGAAGGTAAGATCCCTCATCCACAATTACTTGGGCCTAGGTTGGCACTCTCAATCAGCACAACATCCTGTTCAGAAAAGGGACATTGCCTCATAATGCCCTAACCCCTGAACAAAACATCCCTTGTGTTATTAAGTTGCAGTCTCCTTTCCCTGCAAAGTATTCATTTCAAAGATAACATACATTTAGAAGTATTTAGCAATAAAGAGCTAAGGAGGGACTAAAAGGATATGGGGCTGATGCAGAATGCCAACTAGGGTTGCCAAACTCTGATGTCTCATTTCAGGTGACCAGGGACCATGTTGGTGGATGAGAGAAAAAGAGAGAGATCCTGTAAGAGGTATGTCTCACCCCTAAGAGCATAATGTGCTCACATGTGAAGGAAGTGCAAGTTGATGCATGTAACCAAATAAATTTGATATAGAGAGGTCTGCAGGAAGATATAAGATATGTTTACTTCTTCAAAAAAATTTTATAGGCAGCTGGCCTCCTTTCCTGCCAATTGCCAATGGATCATAGACTTCATTTTTGCATCTGCTTGTGTTGCCTTTCATCTGAGCCCTTGATGCTCTGAAGGGCATGGGGCATGCTTTTTAGATGCAGTAATTCTTGTTTCCCTCCTGTCCCTTGCTCCTCCTGGTGCTCTTCCTCTTTGTGAAGCAGATCGAATTAAAATATTCAGGAATGAAATAGGTACTTGTCATTTCTGGATAGACCTTACTTGCAGCAAAAAGAATGACCTTGGAATTTGGTTTTCTTCAAAGTGTCTTGTCACCCTAGCACAGCCATGATTTTGAATTTCATTTCAAACATAAGAGGATATGCATTGGAGTGAAGCAAGAGCCAAGAGGGGAAATCCCAGCTCAAAGTGAATCCCTTTTTTCAGAGGTTGAAAGTCCAGAGTACATGTCTATCTCTGTGAATCATTTCTCTCTTTCTCGACACAAATTGGGTGAGTTTTCCTCATGTTGCCTTCTTTTTTTGTGAGGCTTGAGTCAACATCTATGGGTAGGCCTTTATACATTGTGGGCGTTCCTCAGACTGCATTCACTCAATAGGAATTTAATGAACTTTGATTCACTGATCTGCTACAGTTCCAGGGACATATCCAGACCCTGTAACTGAGTGCAAGTGGTCTGTTCAAGAAGCCTGTCAAGGATAGGTTAATGGTGCCTAAATAGAAAACTTGTTCAAGGTTGAGATTCATTACATATTTAAGTTAGCAATACCCCTTTAAAACCAATTTGGCGAATTCCAGTGGTGTAAATCAACTCTGTATATCAGGTTGGAGGACTCAAGAAACTATTTCGATTTCATGTCTAATTTGCATAAATTATGCTAATTAGGTGTCAATATGGCCGTAGTGGGGGAAAAAAGTTGCAACATTGCAAACAGGATATATTAGAAATCCTTGAATATAAATGAATGAAATTCACACATATAATAAATGACATCATAAGACTTGGAATGATGGAGCAATTTGATAGAATTCCCTCAGAAGAAAAATGTTCAACCAAAATAAATTTTTTCTCCATTTTGACCTGCTAATTAAGTATTAATATGCTAATTGTCTGAATCACGTCCACAATATCAGGAAATGCTCTCGTCATTCCACGACCACCAATTCAAGAAAATTTAGTGCAAAAAATCATATGTATATCTCTACTAGGTCCTGAGATATCATGCTCAAGAGCCTTGTACTTACTGTGAAAATGGGTTTTCGGGAAATCAGTAAGAGAAGGGAATTAGCGCCCTATGAGCCACCCACAAAGGTCATAGAAAACTACAGAACCTACTGACTGTGGAATGAGACATCTAGGGGTGGAATCCAGAGTGAACTATAGGCTTCTGCAAAAGTTATGGCATTGAATTTTTATTTTTCATCTTTTCTAACATATGGTATCCAAGGACAAAGTCAGTACCAAGGAGATGTAATTAAGACAATACTTTGCCAAATAGTTAAAATTACACCTAATTAATTAAGTTCAATTATTTTTTCCAACAGGAAAGCAATCTTCAGTGTCTGAAGTATAGTTTGAGCCAATTTTTGTGAAAACTTTATTTTTCGAAAAAATCTATTTTTAATGGGGTATTGCTACCTTAAAGCATAACCTTGGTTTAATTAATTCTGCTTGGGTCATTATGGTTGTGCTCAGTGTTTAATGTTAAAGGAATCATAAAAATTTCACATATTGAAATGTCAGTAGGCCACAAAGAGGAATACTTGAGCTTCACCAAGGTTGGATGAAATATGTCATGTTTCATTTTGTACCGTTTTGTTTATTTTAAAACTTAATAAATTTCTGAAAGTTGTATTCATTAAGAGAATTTTTTCATCCTCATTTTAGATGGTTTATAGGGATTCATACAGTTGTTTTTTGACCTGTGACATGATGGGGAAAGCAAGGCAGAAATGAATCGCAACTGTAGCAAAGGATGTCTACAAATACTTTGAAAATTCTATTAAAAGATGGAGAATAGCTGAGATAAGTGGGAATTTGTACTTTGATGGCATATTTTGGCACATGAGCATGGTAAAAAGAAAGGGGGCTGTGAAGGCTGAATGGGAGGCCAAGAAAGTGACCAGTTTGGTACCACAACCAATCACCTTTTTTCTGCCAATATTGCTAGTATGGCTTGTAAAAATGGTTTTAAAGTCATATTTCTCCACTCTTACTGATGCTATTTAAACAAAAAAGTTCCCCATCTCCTTCGGATATGTCCCCAGAAGATATGTGACATTTCAAACAAATTCATCATGCCAAAGTAAGGTTATGAAATGAACAATAATTTCTTATAATTGGAAATTGAAAATACATGGGATCTCTTGCTGAGGGGCAAGTGGAAGACACACATTACCATTGTGGCTACATATGGAGGCAACATCATGTGCATCTTCCATTAAGGCCCATTCTTTGGGCTGTTTTTTCGTTTAGTATGGTTTGGCATCACTTCTTGACTGATAGTAATTGGTATCAAGAGTTTGTTTTCATTTTTATTTGGAATTTTGCTTTTTAACCTTTAGAGGTGATGCCAGATGGAGTAGTTAAATCCTGAAGCAACTGAACCCTCTTTTCCCAGTTTCTGATTTATTTTTAATACTTGGTCATTAATATACTACAAGTATGGTGAAGATTGCTACAGTAAGAGCAGTGATGCATGAGTTCAAACTCAATAAGCTTCAATGTATTCCTATTATATTTGCCTTGTCAAGTTTTACATGACATCCAAAAGAGTGAGACTGAATTGAATGGGTAATATGAAATATACAGTATTTGTTTCTTGGGGACACCCCCACAAGCAGAGGAGTCCATTGGCTGATTGGTTCTCATGTGATATTTAAGAAGTTACCATCTTGGAGAATTCATTGCCTCTGTTCAATGGTTCCCCAGAGCCAAAAATGTGGTCTCTTTCCTCCCTCTACCCCCTGTAAAAGGAAGGACATACAAAACATTTGAATTTTTTTATAGCATATCTTCTGAGTCAGCAAAATGCCTTCACACACCTTTAACATTCAATTTCCTACTCCCAGGAATACTGTTCTTGCTAATGCATTTGCTCTGGTTCTAGACACGCATTACAAGAGTGCTATGTGTGAACCATGACCACACAATTCCAATCTCAGTAACCTTACCTTACTCTATGAATGTGCAGTTGGTCAACATACTTGATTCCAATGATTTGCATCACTGGATGCATGCAATGCAAACAAGGTAGAATAATGTTGAGAGGTACCATTTCTGACAGTGGGTACAGCATTGCATTCCTGTGTCTATGGCATAGACATTTGCAGCTCTCTTCTTCCTTTATTTTTGGATACTCCCTCAGATGTATTTTGCTAGGTATTGGAGTGTACAAGGTGGTCCATAGTAAACCACTGTTTTTCTTAAGGCTGTATCTTCATGCCCAGTAAAGCAAACTATGCAAATCATACATTTTCTTAAAGTCCTGAATGAGATCTTTCAATCCAGCCAATTTTTGCTGAAAAATCTCTAATCTAGGTGAAGTTACATATGAGGGTTGGTACAAAGTTAATGCCTGTGCATTTTTTTCTTGATAACCTATCAAGATAAAATGATAAAATATGGTTGGAAAATAGACCAAGCCCTTTTATATATGACTTTTTTTCCATATAGTTCCCATCATGTTCAACAGACTCTTCCTAGCGCTCAAGAAGGGCAAGTATGCAGTCTCTGTAAAACTGCATAAAACTCTGTAAAAATGGTGATCACTTTGTGGCTTGTCTTTCAAGTCGGTTGACCCTGTTTTCCAACCCTCTCACTGTGCTCACATCAATGGTAGAGGTCAGGTTAATGTCAACCTGCCAATCATTTTTTTTTTTTAAGTCTGTAAAAAAAGCTTTTAAATACACAAGTTAAGTGCTCATTTGACTCTCAATCCAGTTCACGCACATCCTGCTCTCAAGGCACTGAAAGCTGATTGAAACCAATTTTGTCACAAAAACACTTTGATCATTTCTTCGATATGCTGTTTGATGTCAGTTTTGATGATGTTTCATCGGCTTTTCAACACAAACTTTGACATTGATTTCTGAGAACAAGCGTTCACGAAACGCCCTCAGTCTTGCCTCAGTCTTGCCATCAATCAACGAAAGAGCCATTTTTGGTGTATTTGCATGACAAGTGCATGTGAGGCACAAAACCCACTGAAACCCATGACAAAATTGTCAGTCATGGTATATTGCTGGCACATGCTGGGCTGCCATACAAGTTCTGGGTAAGAAATACAGAATTGAGTGCATACTGCAGTCTGGTGCTACATATTTTCAGGAATGAAGAATGTCCATTTTTGGCATTTTAAATTTCAAGTTCTGTGATTCTTAGGGATGTGAAATCAGACATGGATGTTTATTGAGCTTTTTCACCAGACCTGAACCTCTGCCCAAATGCCTTCAATCATTCTTCAAATCTTGAAAGATCAACACCATACTGCTTTCCACTCTGATCACAAGAATAATATCGAACAGCAAATTAACACGTTGATGACCAGCCTATTTTTGCTTGTCCGCCGCGTGGGACCACGTGCATTTTTTTTGTCAAAAAATGCATTTTTTAAAAAAACTTGGCAAAAAAAATGTTTTCTGGGACCATGCATCCTGATGGCAGGATGCATTTTTTGACAAAAAAATGCACGTGGTCCCACGCGGCGGACAAGCAAAAATAGACTGGTTGTCAACGTGTTAAAGAAGTGATCAAAGTTTTCCATTGTCTCAAAATTGGTTTCAATCAACTTTTGGTACCTTGAGAGCTTGAGAGGAGGGCGTGTGAGCTGGATTGAGAATTGACCAAGCGTCATTTGTGTATTTAAAAACCGGTTTTGAAGACCTTTAAAAAAAAGGATTGGATTTCAGTGTAACTTTGTCCAGATTAGTGGTTTTTCAGCAAAAATAGGCTCAATTGAAAGATCTTGTCTGAGGCTTTCCGAAAATGTATCATTTGCATAGTTTGATGTACTGGGAGCAAAGATACAGCCTCAAGAAAAATAACAGTCTACTATGGACCACCTTGTACCAAATATAAGGGTGTCCACCAATTATTTATATCATTAGCAAGTCATATTACTTCTAAACAAATAATCATAGAAAGGTGAAACAAAGCCAAAATATGCAGAAACACTTCAGGTTTTGTGTTTCATGGATACCAAGTTCACATTCATTCCATTGGTGCTGCAGGAGTTACATAAACAAAAATGGCAGATTTCACAGGGGCTGAGAAAGCTGTGTTTTTTGGGTGTAGAAATATGTTCACCTCCCAAGTGAAACATTTGAAAAAAACACATACTGTTGTGTTTCTATGTAACATGTTTTTTATACAAGGTATGGGATGGAACCCCATCAAGACCATCCATTTATGCTTGGCATAAGCAGTTCATTGAAACTGGGTGTCTTTGTCACTTTAAATTGGCAGAAGACCAAGGATCAGGATTAGGTCTTGATGGGGACACCATCCCATAATTTGTACAAAAACTATGTTTCATACTGAAATGCAACAAAACATGGTTTTTTTTTTCAAATGTTTTTCTTGTGGAGGAGAACATGTTTCTTCAAATCGAAAAACATACTGTGCTTTCTCAGCTCCTGTTAAATTTGCCATTTTTATTTACATGTGCTTGTGCCCAGTGGAATGAATGTGAACTCAGTATCCATGCAATACAAAACATGAAGTGTATTTGCATATTTTGGCTTTTGTTCCACCCTTCTATGATAGTTTGTTCCAAAGTTATATGACTTGCAAATGGTATAGATAACTTGTGGACATCCTGTAGAGTGAATTCATGGGTAAAATGGAAGTAGAACTTGAAAAAGACACTTGGCATTCTCTCTCGTATTCTTTCTATTGGTAGGACAAATCATGACTCAGTTCTGTTTTGCACCTAATGCATACTTGGATTGATCTTGTTGTCTGTTATTGAAATGTCTGAAATGTGCTAAAATTTCATATCCATATGCACAGAAGAAAAAATTCTCCAAATCAAGATTTCCAGATGGATTTGGACAATGAAAGCCCTTTGTAAAACTTGAATATGAATCCCACTGAAGGACCAGTTGGTGTCTGCTGCCCCATCTGACTGTGTTGCTGGTCGGAGACTCTTGGAGAAGATGGGATGGAAACCAGGAGAGGGACTGGGGAAGAACAAAGAGGGCACACTGGAACCCCTTTCTATGGAAGTGAAGATGGACAAACGAGGTTTGTCCCATCCCTTCAGTAAAACAATACTTTCCATGTAAAAGAATTTTGATATGATTGCCTCAAGTGCTACTTATAGGACTGGTGGCAATGGATGAATTGCATCGGCCAGTCCCCAGTCATGCTCCACTGGCCCTAGTCAACTTGGGTGATCTCTCAGGTCAGTCTTTGAACTCAAGTAGGAATTTCATGGCAGGTACCTTTTAACCAGGACATCTTTCTGAAAACTTTGTTGATGATGCCAATAGATTTCATTCTTTCATATTGTACTCCACAGAATGTCAAAAAGTCAGGAAGTCATGTGGTCATTCCTCATTTATAATGAAACACAAATGACAAAATGCAATCATAAATGTTCAATGTACTCACCATCAATAGCATGTCAGGCTTCAAGAGGGTACTGCCACTCTTTGTGAACGTTTTTCAGTGCACCAGAGGGAATGACCACAAGCTGTAGTTATCTGTTGTTGGAGCCTACCCAGGTTTGACAATCTGGCCATATACACATGAGATTTCAGAAATCCCCAAAGAAGCAAAGCAAGGAATGTATCATGATGTGACTTACCCCATGATTCCAGACTTTTAGCATGCTTTAGTACTCTTCAGAAGTAGTAGCCCATATTTGTAAGTGAATTTTCAGTGCTAGAAGTCATTGAAATGAATTTTATGGTGTCAGTGAAATTAAGAAAGAAGAAAGAGAAATTTAGATTCCTCTTCAACTGGAAACTTTTTATTGGAGTTTCCATTGAAGAAAATGTTAACATTTAGGTTTCTATTGTAAGTCTGCATGTTTGGTTGTATCAATATGTCTCAAATTTCACCTGATCTTTCTTCCTTGCAAAGTATGCAAGAAAAGAAGCTTGGGCCTATCCAGCTCAAGTTCACAATGTTGCCAAGGCAAATAAATGAGTTGAGTTGAGTTCCACAAAAAAAAAAATTACTCTTGCGGTGCTTAGGATTCAGAGGAAATGGCTCCAGGTGAACAAAGTTAAACTTGCTATTTATCTTGGTTGGTGCCTCATCACATGATAGGTTCATGAAATTACAAGAGGCCTTCAAGTGTATTCATGGTAAAAATAGAGTGGAGAGTACAAAAACAAAAATGAAAACAGGAAATTTTCTCTTGGAACTTAATTCTTTGGTTATTGGCATTGTTGTCACAGCCAATATGGTCCTGGACAGTTAGTTGTGGACAAAACGTCGCATGTACTTTTGGTCGTGGCACTATTTCGTTGCAGGCAAAGGTAGTTGTGCAGGTGAAAGGTGTGAAAGCGTGGTGAACAAAAATGGTAGAAAGAAATAGGGCCTCTGTGTTCCTCGGATCACAGTCATTCTCGATGTTACTGTAAGCCATTTCTTGTTCATATGTGTGCATCTAGAATTGTGTTAATGGCACTGAAATACCTCAAGACCTCCATAAGTAAATAAAAGCATCACTATGAAGGATATCTTTATACTGTAGAGAGGCAAAGTATCAATAAGATGGCATGGTTATGTGAGCTGCAGAGCTGTGAAGGTAGGATGCACACAAGAAATGATGGAGTGGCCATAACTCACCACAATCATGCACCCAGTTCTGATTGTGTCCAATTGGTAAAGACAGTTTGGGAGTTCACTCAAAATTCTCAAGAACCCACGCATAGACTTGTGCAAGCTGCATCTGTTCCCAGCCCTTGTGACAAGGAGAGTGTGACAGTGTTTGCAACAAAATAGTGCTATGACCAAAAGTGCATGTGACATTTTGTCTGCGACGAAATGTCCACAACCATTTTGGCCATGATGAAAGCACCAGTCACAAGATCTTAAGAGTGAGCATTTTTACGAAATAATTTTTTAGCTATAAAAGGAATATCTTTAACAATAGCCCATGAGCTTCATACATCTCTGAATCATTCAGGGAAGCACCCAGTATCAGCACTGATGGAGCTTTGCAGCAAGCGGAAATGGGGACCTCCATCATGGACCACCATGGAGGAAAGGGGACCTCCACACCAGAAAGTCTTCCGGTTCAAGGTCATTTTTTTTTTTGGTGTGTCATTCCCTGTAGATATCTCATGAGCCAAGGAAGGCCTTACTTCTATAATTGCCTTTACAGGTGTTGGTGAATGGGCAGGAGTATATGCCAGAGAAGCCAAGCCCCAATAAGAAGACAGCCAAGGCAGATGCTGCCACTGTGTGCCTTCAAGCAATTGGACTCCTTTCCAGATAATATATCTTCAAGTACTTTCTAAAGCTGCTTTTTTTATTATCTGGAATTCTTGATTTCCCTTGGAGATGGGTCTCAATTCAAATGAGAGTTGCTTACAATATGTCCACCTTCCAGTCTTACTAAATAATTATCAGTGGGTAAAATTCAGAGATAATTTTACTACTTCTGTTTTAAAGAAATTGCTCAAGCTAACCAGGTAGAGGATGTTCTGGTTCATGGGATATCAGCTGCAATCAAGTCCCTTGAATCATTAGAAAATTACACTATTAATTATACAATAACACATTATATTATAGGCTTGACACACTCATCTCACTGACATCTCAGTTTACTTTTGACACATCCATTACATAAGCCAGCTAAAGTCATCACTTGTGTTAGCCTAAACAGTATGTATATTTGCAAATATGAATACCCTGCATGGATGATATCACAGGTATGGGAAGGAGTTGACAAAATTGCATTGTTAGTATGTACACTCTGTCCCAAAAAAAATTTGGAACATTTTTCAATTTGTAGCTTCTTGTAATTGGTTCAGACTAGCACTGTGTGCTTTTGATGGGTGACTAAGACATCAAATGAGCACAAGCGCACAAAGATATGTCAAAATCCATTGATTCATTTTGGAGATGCAACTTATTCTCAGTGAGGTTGCAGCTGACCATAGCTGCCAGCCAAACCTGGCACTGGCACAGCCAGCCAAAGATGGAACTTGTTGTTCCCCCATTGCAAGAGAATGCAGCATTTGAGTTTCAACCAATGTGGTGTGCCTGTTCACTGAATGACAACATGCACTTACCAAGTGTCAAGCAGGTAAGATTAATGCAGTTATTAAGGTTTTGCACATCATGTCAACCATCCTGTATGAGGCACAAGACTGAATTTTGACACATGCACCCATACAGTTCTGGCAGCACCCCCTTACTGCTGTCACACTCTGAATTATCTCCTGTATTTCAAGAACCAGTGAATGGATATCATTTTAGCGCTGCATGCATGTACCCATTTGATGCATTAGTCAGCCCACTAAGTCACACAGCAATAGCCTAAACCAATAATGAGTGGCTAAAAATTGAAAAATGTTCCAAAATATTATGGGACAGAGGGTTCTTTTATACACATTCTCAAAAATATTAATGTAAAACATCAATTTGATATACTGACTGTACCACACATGTGTAGCAGTAATTATATTCTTAAAAAGTCACTGTTAACATTGAAATAAACATCAAGGTTTGTTCTCCCTCTTAGTGGCATCTTCTGAAGCCAAGTATTCAAACAGATCCCGAAACCCTGAGAATTCTGTTCTGCTCTGAGGGGGGTCATTTTGGGGTATTTTTGGAAGTGCTGATCCAATATTCTTCCGGAACTCCACCAAAGAATGAGCACCTGATGCCTTGAATACGAGGAAGGAGATGAGTCCAACACCAGTTATAGCACATAGAGAACCCCACTTCAGGGCCCTAAGGGCAAGGGAAGCCCCTGTCTCATGTCTTCCATTTGGTGTGAGGCCATGAGCAAATGCCTGAGGATCTCCCTTGCGTGCCAGAGCCACAGCTCCTCCAAATCCCAAAAGAACTGATACACCTCCAATGCTTGCCAGGAACAATCCACCTAAGACATACAAAAACCAAGAATTTGGTAAAGGTATGATTGCAAAATTAACTACCAAAAATTCATGCCATCAGTGCCTTGGCATGCAAAAGAAATCCCATTTCTAGCTTCCTGATTTTGTAAAATCCATAGCTCAACATAACACTCCAGAAAGTGGGAGGAATCTGAAAACAAAATTTAAGTGCATGTCACTAGCTGCTATCTAACCCAGTTTGACAGCTCAAGGCTCTGTTCTTGCATTTATCAGGGGTAGCTAGACATGCAATCATGTCAACCAAGTTTGCAATGTGCAGTAGGTGCATACCACCCCATTTCAGGAAGAATAAGCCTTCATTATTTAAGTAAGCAAGTTATTGAGTTTGAACTTAAAATTGCTATAACTTCATGCTCACAAATTATCTGTGATGCATCATTCTTAACACTGACAACTTAAAAAAAACTGCAACAATGCTTTGTGTTGAAAATAGAACTTCTGGTGATTACCAAAAAATAGTTGCAGATAGCCCATAAGGGACCAATGCCATTGCAATAATGAATGTAATGTCCCCTCCCGTTTGGAATGTATTCAGCCTAGTTCCCTTTCTTGGGAGTGAGGTTAACAGCTGAATGAGACAGTTGTGGACAGACTAGCATGATCAATTATGTGACATGCTCCTAAAAGCTGAATTACAAGTTTGGCTCAGCTTTGTATGATGTGTTGCATGACAAAATCCATCTTGCATCTAATGAAAGAAGTGATATTAGCCAGAATGCTGTTTTAACACTTTGATGGTCATTGGCATAGTACCTATGCTTAGATTGTAAAACAAGTAAGTTTGTTTTACATATTCCTAGAGCATGACACATTGAGGATTTTTTGAAAGTTTGAATAAAATATTAACATTGACAACTTCATTATTATTTTGAAAGGTTGATGTAACTTTCCAGCTTTTTACAGGAAAATTCTTGACCATCAATTTTGAGGAAAAATGTGTAAAATGCTCGACTGTCAGAGTTAACTTCAACTGATAGAACCTTTTGCAGTTCTCTGACCTTTGGCAGAGATTTTCTAAGCCAGACAGGTCCATGAACAAATAACCAAAAGCCTGAAAGGGACTTGAGAGATCTCAACTGACCTTTGAGACGATAACTCCACTCATTTGTTCCTCCAGCTTTATCATCCATCATCTCTATTTCATCAATCTCAAGTGAAGTTTTCTCAGCTTCATCTTAGTCCTATACACAGAACAAAGGCCGTGATTGATCCTTTATAGTCAAGACTTATTATAGCTACAAATTGAGTTCCAATACCTATTGACATTGGAACTCAACTTTTAACATTAGTCCTGGGTCTAGGCCTAATACCATCTAGGGTTAATACCAGCTCACATTATACGAGATTGGAGGGAAAGTTAGTTCTGCTGGTGTCGGTAGGCCCAGAGAAAATAAAAAATTGCATTATATGGGTGTGTAAACTCATCCTGAAACCGCCTTGTTGTACCATATATAGTACTTCAAAACTGAGTGGAATGACCTACAGTTAGGTAGGCCACTCGGGAAAGATAAATTAATGAAGTGGGCCTGCCCAGCACTATTGTATGGGTAAACATCCCTTATATTTTTAATTTCATAGGCGATCCTATCGGTAGGCCCCTGGCTTAACTTTCAGGCTGATATGAAGTGAGATGGAAGTCACGTTGTCAGCAGGCTACTACCATCATGATGCAGTGATGTCATAACGCTGTGCGTCTAAGTCTGCGGTCCTAACGGATTACTACAAATTGAAATCCAAACCAATACACCATCTTAGACGTTGTATTGATGATTCAATCCGTTTCGCTACGAAAAGTCTTCCTAAACTAGATAAGCGATGGATTACTTCAAGATCTTCAAGAAGGGTGGAAAGAGTAATTCGGGGAATTATAGACATGTAAGTCTCACGAGTATCCCGGGGAAGATCATGTAGAGGGACCACATTTTGGATATACTCGAAGAAAACGCGCTCATTCGGGACTCTCAGCACGACTTTAGGAAGCGTCGTAATTGTCTCACCAACTTGCTCGAATTCTACGATTGGGCAACGCAAAGAGGAATAAGGAGAATCCCGTGGACATCGTCTATTTAGACTTCGCAAAGCTTCAAAAAGCTCTTCAAAAGCTTTCGATACCGTTCCTCATAAGAGGTTGCGGGTTAAACTGGAGGCGCACAGGATCCAGAGTAGGACGAGCGAGTGGATCAGTAACTGGTTGACGGGAAGAGAGCAACCAGTAATGATGAATGGGGAAGCGTCGACAGAAGTAGGGCGAGCAAGTGGTGTCCCTCAGGGCTCGGTCCTGGGACCATTTCTGTTTTTGGTCTACATAAATTATTTGGATCTAAGCGTAGAGGGTATGATAAGTAAATTTGCCGACGACACCAAAATAGGTTTTTCAAGAAGGGGGTGGAGGATAGGGCTAGAGCCGAGCGAGATTTTAGTCTTTTGGATGAGTGGAGCAAGAAATGGCTCATGAGGTTTAATGAAAGTAAATGGAAAGTTCTCCACGTCTGTCAAAACAACGGTAGGTGTCTCGACGTCAAATACTTACACCTTAAAACTGAACCGGAGGTGGACTCTTAGCACTGCAATTTTGGCTTCGTTATGTTAATTCTTACAAAAGATAATGGGGTAGTGAAATTCTAAAAAATTAGTACGCTTTGAAAAAGGCATGTAATTCAGGTTTCATAAACCCTTATTTTCATGGTAATAATTAGATTACTACTATTTCAGACCTTTCATATGAGCTTTCTAGCTAGCGTAGCTTGAGAGTTATGAAATTCGCCAGAGGGGTCACACATGCCTGAAAACCGATATTTTCAAAATTCATATCTCCTTTACCAAAAGGAAATAAACGAAAATATTTCGGATTTTGAAGTTTCATGCAAGACCCGTTAACTCTGAAAATTTTCAATTTTTTATGAGGTGGTGGAGCGTCATCCCTCGGTCAGTTGGCATGGAATGGCCTATATATATACAGTATATATATCTCTCCCTCTTTCCAAAGGAACTCGCCTATCTTAGAAAGCAGTAGAAGCAGTGGCGTATTTTACGGGGAGGGAGGGCAGCCGCCCCCCCCCCCCCTGGCGCCCCTGGGACAGTGCCTGCCGCTCTGGTGGGGTTTGGCGCCTCCACTCTGTTGCCCTGCCCCCCCCCCCCACCCTTCAGACAACATACGCCACTGTGTAGAAGGAACGCTACACATGCAGAGATCTCAATATGGGCCGAAATGCCTTCCATCATCCTAACNCCCCCCCCCCCCCCCCCCCCCCCCCCCCCACCCTTCAGACAACATACGCCACTGTGTAGAAGGAACGCTACACATGCAGAGATCTCAATATGGGCCGAAATGCCTTCCATCATCCTAACCCGAACCTCAAAGCCTGAATTTTGTATATCCAGATCCCTGATGCCAATTTGAGAATTGAGTATCGACTATGGTCTCATGTTCGCTCCTCTCTAAGAATTGTATTTCGTGATCCTTCCAACTGTGATTTCCCACACAATAGTCCTCAACTTCATGACTAATCCCATGTCTTCACGAGACATCCCATAGACATCTTCTGTCTTCAGTCTTCAGCTTATCGACATCCCGAACGAGATGTCTTTCAAACAGCATCGAATCTTGAAATTATCCCAAATGTATCCTTTTCCATGAGAGACAGCGATCCTTCAGATATCTGCTCTGCTTGACATTTCCATGAGTCAAAGGAGTCCTTGAATGCTATCTATTGGACTTTGTACGCGTTCCAGGGCAGTGGCGTAGCGAGAGGGGAGCTGAAATCCCCCTCTCAACTCCTGTCTAAATGCGTTCGCCCCCTCCCCTCCGCCCGAGAAGTTGTTATCCCCCTTCGGCGACCTTTTCGTGTAACCCTGGCTACGCCACTGCCCTAGGGGGTATCTCTGAGACAACCTTGAGGTGTACTAGGGTCGCGTGGATTCAGTCTTGGAAAAGTGATGCAAGAAAACCGTTGGAGTGCTGAGAACTCTGCTGCTACTGAAAGTAATTAAAATTACGTATTCGACAGGCTTCTCGAAAACAAAAATCTGGAACGAATTTCAACCAACGAAATAACAGATGAAAAAAGCTCACTAGTGAAACTACTGTACAGGGTGATTAAAAAGTCACTTGAAAGTGAAATTTAGATTGTCGTCGGTGTCAATCAGCTAATAAACCTCTCCTGAGTAGTATGGTGCAACATGAATTTGGGGCAGCAGAGACTTCGGGTCAACGAGGAAAAATGAGTGGGTTAAGCATAACATTATTTTTCAAGCTAAAAAGTCATTGTTGATAATTTTGCTAATCATAGCCGGGCACACATGCAACTTGGCAAAGCTCCAGCACAGCTTCTCGGGTGACTCGGGTAACATTGTGAATAATGTTGAGGATTCCCTTCCTGGACACCATATAACCTTTGTCCTGGGATCGATCTATGATCATAGAATATGATTAACCTTCCTTCGAAAGGTAGAGATGCACCTCTCCAAGCAAGCGTTGATTTTCAGGGTCATCCCACAAGTACAAATCTTTTCACTTTCATATTTCAAACTAACACCATACTAGCCTATACATAATGCAGCCAGAAATCCCTAGCACAGAAAGGCTCCCAGGGGGCAATTCAAATTCGGTCCATAACGTGTGAACAACCCTCTGCGAAATTCCAACATAAGGTGCCGCGTGATATTCCATTGGATCATAACGTTGAGTGTGGAACAACTCATTTTTCTTGTCTTGTGTTACTATCCAAAAAAAAACTTCCCGGCGATGCGAGTACATTTTTCGTTCATGGCGAAGGAGTGCTATAAAATTGAAATTGTCTTATGACATACTGACTGAAATTCATATTGGTGCACTTCATCGGCATGCGGGAAGTATATATGTTTTGCATGACAAGAAAGGCAAAACGGTTTTGATGGCCTCTCTCCAAATTCCTGGATGGTATTCTTGATTTGAAGTGAAATGCAATTTTTTCCTGGACCACCTTCAGCGCAGAGAAGGGAAACATGTGAACCTTCGTTCTTTCATCAGCTACACCGAAATAATTAAATAAAATGAAAAAAAAAATAGCTGGGAAGTCCTCTTTGGAGCAGTCTCCAATTGTCATTGATTAAAATATTTCTTATCCCAGCTCAATATACTGAAAGAACTCCAGGAGGGGAGTCGAAAGAGAAGAGGGAAAGCTGGAAAAGTTGCGAACATGCGACAACTGAAACTTTTTCATATTTTTTGCTGAACCACTGATATTGTGCGATGCATGTATAATTTATAAAGTGCTGTGTAAAGAAAGGACTCGGAGGAAGGCTGGCCAACAATTGTACGAAGATGCTCAGGGGAGGAAAAATTATGGGAGGGGGCGCTAAGCGCTGCTAAGGTGGGACGGTTTGCCATCCTGTCACCCGTCCCGGAAAATCCCGAGACGTTACTGGGTCTCACTTCTTTTACAAAATGTCCCCCTCTTTCCCCTGGCTACGCCTCTGGAACAGGTCATCTCTTTCTGTCGCCGTCAGATATATATTGTACCTTAACTATCTGATATTTCTCCGCGTTCACTTCGTTTGCCGTGATCTGAAGTGAAGTGAAGTGCAATGTCGAAAAAAGGGGATGGAAAACATGTCCACGCATGCATGCCTTTTTCATATTTTCTCGATGAAAGGAGTGAGGATGCAGGAAACTGGCTGGGCTGGCAAGAAACACTGCCTAGGAAAGACATGTCATTCACTCACACCTTTAAGCGCCTGGTTTTATATGCTCAAAAAATTAATATAGAGTCCAAAAAATCGTGTCTCCTGTTAATGCGGCCTTGGCGAGATAGTGTGCATCCTTTCTTACGGGAATATTTACTAGCTTACGTACTCCATCGTAACTTTGACAGGAGTCGACCGAAGACAATTGGGTAGCTATCGGTACCTCAGAGCCATCTGCTTTTGGTCGAGTGGATTTTGGCATATCAGGAGACCGTAGGTCGTAGGGCCAGCATCGTTTGGTTTGCTTTTCGCGTTTGAGTAGTCCTCAACAGACAGCAGACAAATCACATCACATATTCATGATGGAAGCCATAGACAATATACTCGACCGAGAAATCAGCGTGCCACCGTACTCGTTCGTTTTCATTTTGAAGTTGATTCCATGACTGTCGTTTCTCCCGTTTCAATTTCACCTTGACCGTTTCCTTTGACCCTACATCGATTGGACTGTGGAAGGCCGATCCAACCGTGTGTCAGCATGCTAATTCAACCGTGTGTCGTCATACTAACCCAACCATGTGTTGGCATGCCAACCCAAGCGTGTGCCGGCATGCCGACCTTCAGTCGATGTGAGCTCAACGTCGTGTGGTGTGAGATAAGACCTCATTTCCGCTCGAGATGATTATACGAGTAGATAGATATTGTTCAGAAGGGAAACTATTCCAGGGCTACCCAGTCAAAAATGTTCGTTGGTTTATTGTTGGGCCATAGCTGGGGAAGTTGGCTCATTTTCGGCGAATGATTGCCCGGCCAATTATTCGCCAAAGATGAACAAATGTGGCGGAGAAGGTTCCGAAAACCGGCGTGAGATGGAGCCAAAGTAGTCTTAGTAGGGAGTCACTTCCCAGATTCTACTGAAACGAGTTCCCTGTTCCTTTGATACAGTTCCCTATGGTTTTTCACATAGATCTCAGAGGAAGACAATTGAATGAAACATTTATTTTCCTTGAAACATTTCTCTGAAGATGTAATCCTGGAATAAATCTGGAAGTCCCGATGGTCCGTGGGAGGATCCTTCAACTTTCCACAATAAGCTACGTGACCTCTTTTCTCTATGAGAAGACCTTGAAAAATCCTATAACATTTAACACGTGCCTGGACTCCTGTATTAGGGCAAATACCCTTGCATTCCTATGTAATTCCGCTCCTGGATGCCTTAGCATCCGGAAGGGATATTGCATTATTCTCAGCTCTTGGCGATAGGAGTGTACCTTCGTAAGGTACTACTCCTTCGTCTCTACCAGATGAAGGAGCAGTAGGGGCCAATGGATGCATGATGCAGTTTATGTGGGCCATGCCTCTATGCCTTTTCACCATTGTGAAAAGTCGGCTTTTGCTTGGGGCACATGCTGTTTCCCAACAATGTGTCAAAGTTGGTCCGATGAAGAACCAACAGGACATGCCCAACCATATGCCAGTGATGGCCCAACTAAGGCTTATATACGCGTCGACGAAAAGCCATGGATGGCTCGATGCAAGAAACTTGATAAAAGCCCGAATCTGTGACTGAATCGCTGATGCTAAATCATGCAAGGTGTGATGAAGTCGTGTCTCTTCCTCGTTCTAAGACTTCCATTCCACTCTTGTAATTCCCAGCATTAGACTCTCCGCGTTCCTCTGGGTCGTTTTCCGCTTCTGTCTATCTTCAGCGACGATCGAGTTTTCGAACCATACGTCATGGCATCAGATACACGCCAATGAAGAGTGCTTCCTCTTCGGACTCATGAGAACGTTACTCAACGTGATCGTATTGAATTATTGATCTCGCCTGGCAGACATTCCATCCAGCTCTCGCTCTCCCTATTAAATCGTTGAAGTCGCTCGCGGTAGACGTCCTCTTCCGTTACTTCTAGATCTATGCCTCCTACATCCATATTCATCTGTGAGGTGAACTCGCTGTGCACGACAATATACTCGTTCGTCAATGTGATGCGATTCTTCGTACAATCGATCGATGGTGTCCTGCATGTTACAGTATTTCAGGTCCATTGATGCAAGAACAATGTCGGCGGATCTCAATTGGTAAAGTCTCTTTCCGTTTGAAATAGGCCTTTGTCGTTCCAATTCCTCTTCACGATGTCTTCTAGACTGGACTGTACGGTTTCCGAATTGTATATCCTTGCTTCATTTGCCCCGTCATGACTTTCTCATTCCTTAGGGTAACTTGGGGGAATATGGCCATTGGGGTAATATGGTCCTTCGCAATGAAACCCCTAACAGACTGAATAATTAGTTTCGGCGAATTTTAAAAATAGTTCTATCAGAGTCCATGCAATTAGTGAAACTTTT